TTCTCTCGCACCGGTCTCCTTTTCACGGAGTCTTCGCCGTCGTCCTCGGGTCGCGGAAATAACCGCGTGAAGGTAAGAACGAAAGCGGCAAAAGAGGAAACCGTGTATCTGACGTTCCGTATATCGAGAAACAAACGCCCGCGCGACATCGTGCGTGTAAAAGCGCGCGGCAAGGTTTGAAATGCCGATGGAAATATCGACGGTATTGTCGCGCCCTTTCATGTGACGGGCTGATCTTTAGCGTTAAAACAGGTCGGTTTATATCGCCGTTTCTTCTTTCTATTATCCTGAATGAATGATTCTTTCTGTTATCCTTGCGGAAGGAATCGTGAAAGGAGAATCGAGCCAGAGACGGGACGCAAATGCGTAAAGACTTACGCGCGATCCTCTGTGATGATTCGCGTGCAATAACTCTCGGTTCTCGGCGGAACGAGAGACCTCGTCGACCTCGATTGAGTTCCTCGTAAAAAGTGACTCGAGCGTTCCTTGAGAACTTTTTAATCGCGGCCGACTCTTAACGATACAGGAATAACGATTCACAAACACAGTATTGACGGTAGAACGCGAAACGTGCGAAAGAGAGAAGGAAGACGCGAAAAGCTCGGAATGCGCTTCCCTGCGAAATGACGATCGATCTGACGAGCGCTAATCTAGCGAACAACCATCGTGAACTGGAAGCTTCGGTGCACTCGTCTCCCTCCCGCGATGTTATTTCCGTTTCCCACTACTCTCGCACGCGAAAGTTCGTGCTCACGCTTGCACCTTCCCCCTTCTCTCTAATCCTTCCGTCGGTCTGTCGTCTCTGTTTTCGTTTCTATTTCTCCCTCCACCTTTACCTCCGCGTCGCTCGCAAATCTGAAAGCGGCAAACACGCCTCGGCATACCTTTCCGCGCGCCCGACCGGAAGAGAAAGGGACGACGACGAAGGCCGCCGTAGGGCTCGACAAACACGGAAACTGATCGAGAATGCTAGTTGAAATTTCCAACGGAACCCGCGGCACTTCTAATGTCGACAGGTCACGAGTATTTACGATAAATTCGGCCCACCGTTGCGCCGCCGCGAGAGATGATTATTGTTTATCGTGCGATATATAATTTATCGCCTAAATAAAAAAAACTTACGAGTTTCCACGAGCCTCGCCGTTGGTCGTGCATCGTGAAACGGAAGTTCGGATTCCGGACGAGTCGACCACGGCCGCGATAAACGATGCTAAGGGGTGCTTTCGCACGAATTGCCGTAACTGTGAACGTAAAACGTGAAGTTGAGCGGAAGAGCCGATCGGGACATTTTCTTAGGTTTGTGCACTCCGGGAGGAGATAAGATTGACCGTAAATCGCGAGCGGAAGTAACTAGTCAATATAATCCGGGTATTTCGGACATTTGGCTCTTCCGAAATTACCCGAGTGCACTGGAAATAACTAGGATCGAACTGGTTGAAATCCTAATTGCTCAATCTGAATCCTAGTTAAACTGTCACTTCTATCTTCTTCTGGAACAATCCTAAAGCAACACCTCGATTGGTCCTTCATCCCAAGTTTACGCCGTGGGTCTCACGGTTAGGGTAATTTTCGAAAGCGCTAAGCGGCAAGGTGGGAGGGGCGCGTCTTGATTAAATTCAAGACAGAGCGCGCGACAACGCGCGGCGGAAGAAATCACGGCGGAATGGTGCGAGTAACGAATAAAACTTATCAACGGTCCGTCGCCGCGTCGGTGAGTGCAGTCGACAGCATACGAGGATTTGATTGGATAGGTCGCTCGATTGCATATTGCATTCGACGAATATCGAAACCCCTTGTGCTCAATTAAATCCACGACAGCGCGGCGGATGGAATATCGAATTCGCGGAGTTAAATCGCTGGACGGTAAAAAAGGAATTGCTTTCGCGAAATCACTCCGATACGGGAAAAAAGGAAAGAGGGAGGGAGAGAGAGAGAGAGAGAAAAAGCGAGAGAGGAGAATAGACAAAGAGGACAAGCGTGGGAAAGGAGGAAAAGGAGAAATATTGACACAATGCGGAACGTGTCGATTAATTTCGGCCGCTCTTCTCCGCGTCGTCCCCATTATGTCACGCTTCTCACGAGTCGCGAACGACAGTTCTTTTACTTTGTCTCAGCACAGCCGTCGTACAACGAATGTTATAACGAGTGCGCGCGCGTGTCGTCGCGACGTTTCCCCGTCGGAAACGAGCGCAAGAGAACGATCTCTCCTCGTGCCGCAGAGAAACGGCCGAATCGAATTGAACGAACGAATGGTTAGAATGCGATATGAAATTTCTCGTCGATCGTAACGTTAATCACTTATTAATCGCTCATCGCTCACATCGCGCCAGAATTACAATAATGCCGGCCGGATTATACATCGGCACGGCCGGCATTTATCGGAGAAAGCCATTCCGCTAAATTAACCTTTCCGCCGGCGTACGCGCGCGCCCCATTGAATTTCATAGTTATTCCGCGAGTCCGCAACAAAGTTTTTCCACCCTTCCGGGACTCCCGACGTGTTCCTTCGAGCTACCGCGGGAAATCCTGAAGAATACATCTCGAGCAAGCGCGACCATCGAGGCGTGCGGTGGTCTCGTAGGCGCGCGCGCGATTACTTTCGCGGAACAGGCGGATTATTTTCGCCGATCACTTCCGTCCACTTCGAGCGAGATCGAGCGAATTATCAAGGAAATTTTCCGGGAGTGCACGGGATCGCTCGAATCACGCGGCACGGCCGCGAACTCTCTCGGCGGGGAACAATGAGAAATTAAATCATCGCTCAATCCCGCGCGAAAACGAATCGCTAGAGCAGATATTACTCGGATCGAGAAATCCATCCGCACGTCGCGGCTGCGAAAGCCGCGTCAAAGCTTTGAAAGAGAAAACCGATAGAGGAACAACGTAAAACTATCCTATGTCGATTCGATTTTACGCGCCTGCCCAAGTTTCATCACCATTCTCTCTTTCCTTCCCTCTCTCTCTCTCTCTCTCTCTCTCACTCTCTTTCTCACCATCTCTCCTTCTGTACTGCTTATTTCTCGTTGATTCTCGCTCAGATTTTCCCTATTCCCTTACCCAATGTTTCCCGACAGATATCGGGATAAATGTTGTTTCATGTTTTCGAATGTTCCATTCGTGCCGTTCCATAATAACGTTATCTTCCTTTACGGCAGGTACAGACTCTCGTATTTTACGGGGGGAATCCATAAAAGTGTATTTCACCTTAGGATATATATATTATATATATTGGCAATTATTTGCCATCGACGGCATTGAGACATTTGGCAACATAATACGATAACACTTCCCATCTCCAGCCATGTCGCTTCTCATTTCTGTTATTAAGTTTCGTTCCCAAGGAATCAGCTTAGTTCCTTATTCCGCGCGCAATCTCATAATTTCTTTGAGACGCGTCTCTCCTGAGCCAAGGACATACCTCGACTTTTCCAAATTACTTCCTTCGGTATAAAAGCACTATGCTGAGTCGTCTGTATTTCCTGAGCCAAAAGGATGGGTCGAATAAATACTTAACCAAATGCCCTAACAAATTTTATCTACCATTTAACATTACACTCGACATTGTCATTACGTGATTATATTTTACCAAATGTTCATTAACACTTGGCAAAATCAATGTTTATCAACGGAGAAATGAAGATGCGCCCCTCGGACTGAGACGGGCAATTCACGCTTCACAAACGGCACTCAGTAATTCCGTCATCGTCGTGAAATTTCTATCACACTTGGCCGTTGGCTCGAGACTAGCGGATTACGGGAATTATGTCAATTCGTTGGAGAGTCAAAATCGACAGGGGGGAGGGGGGGGGGGAGAAGGAGGTCGGATTAGTGTCGGCGATCATAAAACCGTGACGAGGACACCATAGGTGATCTAGAGCGTGCAGCGTGATCAATGCAGTGCTATGTTCGATCCCGAACGATTCAGCACGGTTGAACGCGACTCTCAGCCACGGGACAGAAGCGGGGCATCGTGACGTCAATGCACGCTTCCCTAAACCCTTGTCGCCGCATTACAGCCGATCGAGGGTAATTTCGTCCCGCGCTCTGGCTGACGGAAGTAAAATTGCGCTCCGGAGACACGTAAATTTCGCGTCTCCCCCCGTTTCCCCCGCGTGTTTCTTCGCGATCATTCCACGTGGGAGCGTGAAGCGAACGCTAGTGACGCAGTGAAAATTACGCGTCGTAATGGCCGCGACGCGTTAATAATAGAATCGTTATTAGCAACGCTCGATGCACGTCACGGGATAACTGCGGGTCACGGTGATTGACACTCAATTTCTCTTTTTCTTAACTCTGTGTCTGTCACGTCGGGGAAAAATTTTACGTCAGGAGGCGTAACGTAATGCTCTCGGGTCAGCCTCGCAATCAAAGTCTCACCTTAAGTAATCGGTGCTTCATGTGGAAAGCGTTGCTCCGAAATGTGCAATAATCCGACTGTTTCCGAGACTAGAGAGCTACATTTGTGAAAGTAGATTACGCACACACAGAGCTATCATATCAGAGCAGTGTGCTTCAGTAGTGTGTAAAATACAGCAACATTGAGTCGAGATTGTAGCTCATCGCGCGCAGGAACAATTTTACCAAACATCTCGCGGTATCTTGATGTCCTCTTTATCATACCTATTTCAAGAACCGCACAGTCACTTGTCTCAAAATTACTTTTTCACATAACGTCCCATCACTCTTCCGCAATTTCTTTCCTCCTATAATCAAGATTTGCGAGAAGCGGGACCTATCATCGTCACGAGCATATATCGGCGTAAAGCCATCTCATGTCCTTCTCGCTCGCTATTCCGTCAGAGTCGACAGAATCTCTCTCGTTGTTAAAAAAAGAAAAAAGAAGAAAAAAGAAACAAACAATAAACGAAGCACTGAAGAGCATCGGGACCATTAATTAATGTATCCCGCGATACGACAAGTCCACTCTCTCTCTCTCTCTCTCTCTCTCTCTCTCTCCCTTTCTACCCGTGTCCTGTGTTCAAGGTGAGTCGCGATTTTACCCGCCAGGAGGTCGAATCTGGTCCTGCTCTTCTCGCTGTCCTCGTAGCCCTCGAGGTCGTCCTCATAATCGTCGTAATCGTCAGGGACGCGTTGGTCCCCGTCCTTGTCGCTGACATTTTGCGAGAGACTGTTGCTGGATGCCCTCTGGCTGGCCTGCCTCACACGGGCCCGATGATCGTTACTGAAGAGGACCGACGGCGGCGGCGGCGTCGACAGCTGAGAGCCCTGAAGGCGACGCTGAAGGTACCGAGCCAAGAGCGCCTGTACCGCGTCTGTCTCCGCCGTGCCTGGAAGACAGAAAGAGAGACTCGTTCTTGTGATCAGTCGACAACATCCTCCCGATCTTACGATATCATCGATGCTCTCGGTCCTTATATCTGTATTCCTATTTCGTCTTTCTTTATTCTCTCGTCTCGCTTTACTCGCTTCGCCTCGCTTCTCCCGTCCTTCCTCCACTTTCCTTCCTCTCGTGTCGGTTTTGTTTCGTTTTTCGTATCGTCAGTCCTCTCCTCTCTCTCTTTCTCTCTCTCTCTCTCTCTCTCTCTCGTTCTCTCTCGCTCTCTTTTTCTCGTTTTTCTGCGACGCGATGCCGCTCCTTCTCTCTCTCCCTCTCTTTCTCTTTAGTTTGCAGACGAAAGAACTCGGTGGCTCGGTCGGGGTCGTCGAGGGTCGAGGGGTGATCTTCTTCCTGCATGACGCGTCGTATGTGCACGTGCGAGCGTGAAGACATACGCAATCCCTGCTCCGATGAGACGAGCATTATTCGGTGATGGCCGTGAGAGGTCCGTCGTGTTCATGTCAGTGTGGCGGAAGAATCGATTAATTGACGTGGATTATACGATCTGAACTCGTCAGGTCCGAGGGGAGAGAGGAGGTGGATGGGCGGTCATATCCGAAACGATCCCAGGCGTTCGCAGTCGCTCACATGCAGGGGGATAAAGATCACTCTATTTTTCACGTGAAAGCCGAAGACCGGGAGCAACGGAGAAACGCGCAAGACTGTTCGCAAAATCTCGTGTTATTTCATACGCCGCAGGTAGATTAAAAGTTGCGTTTCCCTTTCTCGACGAGTTTCACAACGCATCCCGTGTCCAATAGGAGAATTTCTTTTTTAGTAATTCTGAGAAGATACATTCTTTTATCGGATACGAGATGCGTTGCGAAACTTGTCGGAAGAAAGGTGTTGCAATCTTTAATATGTCGATTGTGTGTGTGTATATAGCGTATCGAGGGCGTTTCTTAATCGATGATCGAAAAGTATCGTTGATAGCTGATATCAAAGCATTCGCAGGATCTTAATAACGCGGTTCAGAATCAAACTACGATGTCGGTCATGTCCGGACTGATTAAAGGCCCGTCCACCTTCAGTTTCTACGTAGCAAGAAACGTAAACACGGGCGCAGCGGGCTCTTAATGTGGAAACAACACGACGGGCCGGAAGGACACTTCATTAGAGTGTCCCGCCTCGTCTGCGTTTGATGTTGAAGAGCGTCCACGGAATCATCCGCGCCGATATACACCACATAGATACCGCCGACGACGTATGGAAGGATTCGCAAACCACTCGATGTCGCGTCGTGTAAGGCACGATCAACGTCCAAGTGCCATCGATCGTCGCGTATGATGAAACAGAGAAATCGCTTATTAAAAATCGCTAATATTGGGTTAATTAGCGATAATGACGAAGTGTTTGCCGAGATGTTCGGCAAGTTTTTTTAAATCGATATGTTTGCTCGTGGCTAACTTCACGCACCTTTATCAGTTTCGTCAGAATATTTTTCAAATTGAAACATTAAGAACCGCTAAACTGTAGGAAAATATATGTAAAAAATATTACATATTTATATTGTGTTTTAATATTTTACTTAAACAGATTATTATTATATTATAATCTCGATCATCTTCCAAACGTCTTTCAAATATCCAAACATTTATGCGCGCCTGATTCTCATGCACGCGACAAACTCGATCGTCTCTACTTAAAAAAAAAAGGGGGGTGGGGAAGAGAAGGTTAATTTCTCGTACGGTGATTTTATGAAAACCAGCGTGTTGCGGATTTCGCGTGGCTTCAAGGGAGAACGCGGCAACAAATGATTAAAGGCACCGTTGAACCGGATGCGGGATCGCAGGAGCTGTTGAAGGATTTGCGGCGACGAGGAATCCAATTTTCATCGAGGACGAGTGCAATTACATCGACTTCTATCCTGTAAGCCTGTTCGCCGGCTAGAGCGGCTAGACTCGTAATTGAATTGGGTCGATTGTATCGCGCGACTCCCGCGCTTATTTCTTCCACTTCTATTTCTTGTTTTCTACAAGTTCTTTTTCCCCTTTCGCCCTTATTACCGGACGAAGACCGGCTCGTCAAACAGTTATTCCGGACAGGGGCCTATAATTAAATCCCGCACGAACGTTGATCCCATCATGAAAAAGCACCCGGTAAACCAGCGGAAAACAAGCAACGAGCCGCGTCGTTTTCTTGTTATACTTCGCGCGAGCTGGAAAATGTACGCTCGGGTTGACCGCAAAGGATCAACTTTCCGACAGGGAGGTGATGCCCCGGCAAGGATTTTCAGAGTCGCCGGGATCTTTTTGCAGCGCGCGAGCGCGAATGCGGAATCTTGTTAGCCTTGCCTTCGCGCGCCGCATAATTCGCCGAGCGTTCGTTAAGGTAACCGACCATTCGTTCTCGTCGCCTTTTATCCGTGCTTTGCACATCGATTTATTAACGACGCCTTTTTCACCCGCGATCATCGCGATAATCGCGCTCTGTTTACTTCATCTTGCTCGCACAAATGCCAAACAGAATAAATATAGGATTTTTTAAATCCTGATTGTGACCGTTATGGCGATGTAATAACTTTAATTTTGCAGGAGGATATAAATCCTTATAAAAACATAAACCCTTAGATATATTGTTCAGTTAGTGCTGTGTTTTCAGAGGCGCATGAAGGGGGCCGTTCATAAATATATTATTTATCAAACAAAATTACGTTCCCATACGTTTATTTCACTAACGAAATAATAAATGTTAATTTAAAACGAAACTGAGGTAGACGTGTATACAATGTTATAAATACGAGAATATATTATTTTTTCATTCTTCCTATTAATGTTATTTTTATGCATTAGTCGATCTAATGGAGATGCACGGGTAATAGAAAAGATTTTGTAACCTACAGAGCCAATACAAATATATAAATCTATATTATAGTATAATATAGAATGATTTTTTTTTCTTTTGACGATTTTCCGACGTCGAACGGAAATAACTCACGCGTGCAATTTGCCAATTTTGTTCTCGCGACTTCGTTACAATTACGTGGTGTTTTTTTTTTTTCAATTCGGACTGATATGCTGATTTAATCTGAATTTGCCAAGCACACCGTGCGCGTGTGCACCTTCATTCGCGAAAACCTACATGATTGTATGCAAAATAAATCGGGACGTTCATTTAAATGGTATTGATACGCTCTCTCGAGGGGAAATCACTAAAAATACTGATCGAACGTTCGAAAAATATTGGACGGGGCAGTAATAACGTATCGCTCGAATTTTCTGTCCGGCTTCACGCGAAAATCAAACACGGCTAAAACTAATATTTGGGCGTTACGACAATTAGAAAAATTCCGGGGCGCGCGTCCGCAAGACAACACAACGAGCCAGTTACTCAATATCGGAAAAATAATAAAACACCGTGCACCGAAATATCCCACCGGCAAACGTTTCCATCTGTTTACATCGGCGGAAAAAATCCGAAATAATCACGCCGGTAGTCCGAAAACATTCCTCGAGCGAATTTTATCGTTCGCTGCACCCGAAAAATTATGCGCAACTGCGACCGAGACGTCGATTCACGGGCGCATCGTGCGATAGAATTGAAAGGCGCAAAGAGTGTCATTGAGCGATCGGCGCGTATTCTTACACCGTATTCGCGGCAGACGTGCTAGATCCCGCGCTGAGAATATCACCGAAAGAAATCGCGAGAGGGTCGCGGGTCACGCCGTGCAACAGATTGAGCGGATTTCTCGCTCTACCGGGAGAGATGCAAATCCGCGGAAAACCGCGGCGGCGCGGGGATCTCGTTAATCCGGAATCCGAGAACGGCGTATACTGAACAAACGCGAGTTTCGTGCCGAAGGCGGAGCGATCGCGACGGTGGATCCTTCGACAGCGAAGGAAGAATTCAGCCAAGAAGGAGCCGGTCGAATGCCGGTCGTCTCCGCCCGCCCGCACCGTCGGGACGGAATTTCGGCCGCCCCGCGTAAAACAAACAAAGAGCCAACCAAGAGAAGGCAGCGAGGTATCTTCTACTCGGCGGGATGGAACTTATTTCGAGGTAGAATAAAGCAACGCGACTGCGCAACGCTGCCAGGAAATCCGAAATATTTTCGTCGGAAGCGGAAAATTATCCCGGCCGAGCGCTCGGAGCGTCGCCAGAAGCGGAAATGTTCGAAAGAAGAATTCGCGATATCTCCGCGCATGAACGGAAGCACAAAAGGAAGCGCAGGAATTTGGAAGTCCTCCAGGACGCAAACTCGAAGGGAAGCGTCGCGCGACTCGATCGCCGCGCTTTCTTTCGAAAGCTCTTTCTCTCTCTCTCTTTCTCTCTCTCACGAGCTACTTAATTATTCATTTGCGCTACCAAATCGTGGATGCCGCGAAAAATATCGCGCGAAATATGTATCGTAAGTTCGATCGGATGAAGAAAAAGAGAGAATAAAGAAACAAACGCGTTTCCCGATAATTAAGAGAAACGTTCACTCGCTGTCCTTCGCATCGTTCATACCAACGCATTCTAGAGGATTCCTTCTTCTCGGAGTAAAAACGTCGACGATTTCTCGAATGGTCCGTTTTATATCCGGGACACCAGCGGAATCCGGAAACTGCGGAAACCGCACGTACCAAGATGGCCGACGTGCCGAAAATCATGATCGGCCAGATGTGGTCGAGCGGACACAGGGAAGTCCGAGTGAGAGTTCTTTCCGAAATTGCTGGACGGGAGAGAAGATCCGCCGGGCTGACTCGCGAGTCCCCTTGTACAGGGTCCCAGTTCGAGCGGAAAATTCGAAGGAAAACGCTTCGCTTCCTAGATCGAGCGCTTCTCGGGCCGAAGGCGCAAGATCGACTCGGTCCTCGCCGTCTCACGGCGTCGTCGCGGCCAAAGAAATCGTTACGGCTGTTGGAAACGCGAGCATCCCCGGGAGTGATTCAAGCTTTGCTCGTTCTCTCCCTCGAGAGAGAGAGAGAGAGAGAGGCAGAGAGAGCTCGTGACAGGGAGAGCGCGCAT